AAGTCTTTCATACATATAATGGCACGGAATATGTGAAAAATGATCTCAAGGAATTCATGACCTCCATGGAGATTCTTCATTAAACTTCTTGCACTGACACCCCCAACAGAATGGTATAGCCGAACAGAAAAATAGACACTTATTGGCAGTAACTCGGTCTCTTTTAATTGGTGGACATGTACCTATCTACTTGTGAGGTGAAGCTCTGAATTCATACACCATCTAGTGTTCTGTTTTTTATACGACCCTTAGATGTGATTTCAGGTCACTCTTTCCCTCGTGGTTCTCTTGACTCCTCACATCTTTGGTTGTGTGGCATATGTTCACCTTCATCCTCGTCAACAGACTAAGCTTGAATCCTATGCCCTGAAGTGTGTGTTTGTGGGATATGGAATTCTCCAAAAAGGTTACCGGTGTTATGACTCATTTTCTCAGAAAATATACGTTTCCATGGATATTGTTGTCTATGAAACAACATTTTTTTATAAGTCCACCACTGTTGATTTATCACTTCAGGGAGAGAATCATGAAGAAGTGCCAAATTCTACAGATGTACAAGATTTCCTTCTTCCTGATAGGCCGACGATGACTGTAGTAAAGGAAAATGCAGAAACTGCTCAAGCCATTCCTGCCATTTCTGATGATGCTTAAGCTATTCCTGTCATTTCTGATGAGATGGCCCGAGACCCAATTGATGAAGAAGATCCTGATCATGACATCACCCAGTATAGTACAACACCTCTGAACAATCCTATACAACCACTGGATTAATCTTCTCCAGCGACATCTTCAGAGGTATCTACTAATCCTACTTCCATCATGAACCTTAAGTCTCAAGTGTCTCAATACTATCTTCCAGCTTGTTCTAATCTTGGGGTACCTTCTGTTAAATATGAACCCAATTTTATGTCCAAAGTTAAATATCCCATCAGTAATCATATATCATCCAAAAGATTGTCCGAGTTATATGCTTCTTATGTACTACAGTTATCATTCGTCTCTATTCCTAATAAATTGCAAGAAGCTGTAGCAGATGTTAGGTGGGCTCAAGCCATGGAAGAAAAAATGGCATCACTTAAGAAGAATGGGACTTTGGGAACTTGTTTCTCTACCTAAGGGAAATAAGACTGTAGGATGTTGATGGGGATAGGACCATTGAAAGGTACAAAGCTCAATTAGTTGCAAAAGAATATACTCAATCGTATGGGATTAACTACTCATATATTTTTGCACTAGTGGCCAAGCTTAACATAGTTAGCGTACTGTTATCTTTGGCAGCTAATCGGCATTGGAAACTTCTTCAATTTGACATTAAAAATGCATTTGTGCATGGAGACCTTAAAAAAGAAGTGTGTATGGATCCTCCACTGGGTATAAAGGAATATGCAAATGTGAGCATGGTTTGTAAACTCAATAAGGCGATCTACAGATTGAAACAATCTCCCCGGGCCTGGCTTGGTAGATTCACCAAGTCTATGAAAAACTTTGGCTATAAACAGAGCAATTCAGATCACACCTTGTTTCTAAAACATTGAAAGGATAAAATCACAACTGTGATTATTTATGTTGATGATATGGTGGTGATAGGTGATGATCAAAAAGAAATGGAGAATTTACAATGACACTTAGCCTCAGAGTTTGGGATGAAACAGTTTGGTGACTTAAAATACTTCCTTGGTATTGAAGTAGCCCGATCGAAGAATGATATTTTCTTATCCCAATGGAAATACATTCTTGCTATATTAACAAAAACAAGGATGATTGGATGTAAACCAGTAAGTACTCCTATTGAACAAAACCATAACCCATTTCTATGCTTGGAGAGACTTATGGGAAAATTGATCTATTTGTCCCATACTAGACTTGATATTGCATATACAGTGGGTGTAACTTGTCAGTTCATGCATGATCCCCGTAAACCCCACATGGATGTTGTGGAACGTATATTGAGATATTTAAAGTTTGCCCCAAGAAAGGGATTACTTTTTACCAAAAATGACCACTTGAAGGTAGAAGGCTACACTGATGCAATTTAGGCTGGTTCCGTAGATGATAGAAGGTCTACTTCAGGATACTTTACTTGTGTAACTTGTCAGTTCATGCATGATCCCCGTAAACCCCACATGGATGTTGTGGAACGTATATTGAGATATTTAAAGTTTGCCCCAGGTAAGGGATTACTTTTTACCAAAAATGACCACTTGAAGGTAGAAGGCTACACTGATGCAATTTAGGCTAGTTCCGTAGATGATAGAAGGTCTACTTCAGGATACTTTACTTTTGTTGAGGGAAACCTGGTGACTTGGGGAAGTAAGAAGCAGCTAGTGGTAACAAGGTTGAGTGCGGAAGCCGAATATAGGGGCATGGCTATTGGAGGATGTGAATTGTTATGGTTAAGGAATCTCCTATGAGATTTGAGTTCCAAGCCTCAAGATGAAATGAAATTATATTGTGATAATACTTCAGCCATAGCAATTGCCCACGATCCAATTCAACACAATCGAATGAAACATGTGGAAGTTGACAGGCATTTCATTAAGGAGAAACTTGACGCTGGAATCATTACATTTCCATTTGTAAAATCTGGAGATCAATTAGCAAATGTCTTAACCAAGGCCTTAGCCAACAATGCTTTTGATGACTCTTTAGGCAAGTTAGGCATGTGTGATACACATGCTCCAACTTGAGGGAGATTGTTGGAAATTAAGTTAAGATATGTTGTGATTCTCGTAGAGATTATCGGGAGATATTGTTGTCAATTATCCCATAATGAGGATACATCCCATAATTAGGAGTTAGATCAATATTCTATATACCATGTATAGATTATACAATGAATATATATTGTACATCATCAATTGAAAAATTATTAGAGAATTATTCTCACTCAAACATGTGTTCATTGTTAGTATTATTATATATATTTTCAATCCTATCAATGTAATTTACTGAAATGAAAAGACTCAATTCTTAAGTCCCTTATTTCTTTGAGTTCTACTTTTAACAATGAAATCACAACCACTCACATGTTGCATGCCTAATATTAGCTGAAACAAAAACAAAATAATAATATAATAATAATAACAAAAAAATTAAAATTAAAATAAGAAAGATGATGGTGTTACTAACTTGTTAACCAAATTGGACTTGTAAAAGCCTTGAGGAACTAAAATAGTAGGATGAAAGTAAGGTTTCTTGCTTTGGGAGAGGCTTCTCTTCAATCCACTGTGGGGACTGTAGCATATTGTTGGGCTTGTAGAGTTTACTACAGGCCCCGTTTCGATAATCTAAATTATTCAATGTGTAAAACTCGTTGAGTACTTCATATTTGCAAAAAATCACGCTGATTGCATATCGTTAACCCCTTAATTGGCACACGTCTTTGTTAACAAATTATTTTTAAAATCTTATTTACCACTGACAAAAATGTATTTTGATCAAGGGGTTACCGACATCCGATCAATGTGATTTTTTGCAGGCATGAAGTACTTAATGAGTTCTACATATTGAATGGTTTGGATCATCGAAACATAATTCGTGGTGAGCCTCACGGGCCTAACAGTACGTTCCAACTCACATAGTGGATTGGAGATAAACATCTCCATTTTGGTTTTTTTAATCTAAAAAAAAGTGGTTTATTGCTTTTTTTTTTTAGCTTTGTTTTTCGTTTTTCATTTTTGTTTTTTATTTTTTATTTTTTATTTTCCAATCGATAAAGAAAATTTATTGGGACGATTTTACATCAACACAAAGTCCAAACGCAGAGCATGAAAGGTTAAAAGTGCAAAAGACTAGCACTGATTGTACAAGCATACCCACAATGCTAAAAAATAAGGATAAAGATAGCCCAAAACAAATGGCTTGGAGCGCCAATCTGGCATCACTAATCCACTTCCTAGTGACGAGAAATGAATCATATAAAGGGGTGAGCCAACACTTTTCTCTATATCTCTCTCTTCTATGTCATTAAGGATAAATTAGTGGTGCTATATTGGTGAGATCTAGCATGGTTGTATAAAAAAAACAAGCAATAATACTAGAGAAAAACCAATTTAAGGTAAGCAAAAGCACCAAAATTTGATGTGCAAACAAAATCCAAGCCTTGAGATGCTTCACTCCATCAATATTAAATAATAAAAAATAAAAGACTTGGCTTCCCTTTCTTTGGTCATAAGAGATCTTAACATCTATATAAGGGTTTGGACATGGCTGTTATTTGCTCATCGTGAAAACTTACTTCAACCATAGTTTGTGATTTCTTTCTGAGTGGTTTCCCAAATTCTTAATTCTTTCTTTGAGGGTTTTAGAAATGACAAATTATGTGAATCCAAATGACTACTACTACATATACCAAGGGGATCAAAATAATCTTCCCATTGAATAGCAAGCTAGTACAACACTTTCTCCCCAGGGCAATTCTAATTCATATGAGAACATCTACCAACACTACATGGTTGGGGAGACCACCTCTGAGGATCTGGCATTAATGCAAGAAAAAAACACCATCGTCACCAAAACTAAAACCAGGGAAGACTCACACCGGGAGAAAAATAAGATTGTTACCTTCGAAAAGAATGAGGGATTCTTCATCAAGAAGCAGCGGGTTGGCATCCGGGAGGAGGTCATAACAACTTCCCGTCACGAGAACTTAAGAAGACATCCAAGACGATGGCCATGGAGCAGTATCTAACCCTGAAGAAACCTAAGAAACCTTTCTTGAAGTGCTTTGGTTATTAGGTTCTTTTATTAATAATTGAATGTTAACCTTAACATATATATATATATATATATATAAACTCTATGCTTAATTTCTCCGTTGTTTGCATATTTATGTAATTGTTTGTAATGATTTTTTGTATTAGTTATTATTACTTGTTTTTATTTTATTACATTGTGAAACGGATACAACAAATATTATTGATTTTCACAGCCCAATTATTGAAATTTATAAAAACACTATCTTTTCATAGTAATATAATTTGAGTGGCATACGAGTAGCTATGACCATGAAGGAAACAATGTACAAGGTCTTAAATCAATTCCGTAATGAATCGAAACACATAAAGATAAAGATGTCTTTCTTTGGAAAGTCAAAATCAAAAGGTGGCAAATCAAGCAGTAATAGTAATGGTAATAGTGGTAGTAACAGTTGTAGCAGTAAAGATCCATGGATTCAAAGCACAATAAATTCTCTTACGGAAATGGGGGAAAGGCTTAGCCAGATTGAGATCGTTGAGACGGAGACTCCTAATGCTTTTGTATATACACTCAATTTTCCAAATGTTCGGCGTAACGATTGGAATGTATTTACAACTACTATAAGCCAAATTAACCTCCTTGAAATATATGGAAAGCAAACAGGCACAAAAGAGTCAGGGTCGTTCAATAGATTTTGGATGTTGCCTCGTAATGTGAAAAGAAATAATATGCAAGTGAAGAAAGAGGATGGTATGGTCACTGTTACCTTCCCTAAGTGATAGTAAGATGAAAATTGTTAAACTAGAATTTCATAAGTAGCTTCTAAACTTCACTGGAAAGCAAATTGATATATCTTTGTTTCTTTATGATAAGCATGACCCACATCAAACATGTATTTAGATCAAGGGGTTACCGACATCCGATCAATGTGATTTTTTGCAGGCATGAAGTACTTAATGAGTGAAAGGTACAAAGCGGTTTGGATCATCGAAACATAATTCGTGGTGAGCCTCACGGGCCTAACAGTACGTTCCAACTCACATAGTGGATTGGAGATAAACATCTCCATTTTGGTTTTTTTAATCTAAAAAAAAGTGGTTTATTGCTTTTTTTTTTTAGCTTTGTTTTTCGTTTTTCATTTTTGTTTTTTATTTTTTATTTTTTATTTTCCAATCGATAAAGAAAATTTATTGGGACGATTTTACATCAACACAAAGTCCAAACGCAGAGCATGAAAGGTTAAAAGTGCAAAAGACTAGCACTGATTGTACAAGCATACCCACAATGCTAAAAAATAAGGATAAAGATAGCCCAAAGCAAATGGCTTGGAGCGCTAATCTGGCAACACTAATCCACTTCCTAGTGACGAGAAATGAATCATATAAAGGGGTGAGCCAACACTTTTCTCTATATCTCTGTCTTCTATGTCATTAAGGATAAATTAGTGGTGCTATATTGGTGAGATCTAGCATGGTTGTATAAAAAAAACAAGCAATAATACTAGAGAAAAACCAATTTAAGGTAAGCAAAAGCACCAAAATTTGATGTGCAAACAAAATCCAAGCCTTGAGATGCTTCACTCCATCAATATTAAATAATAAAAAATAAAAGACTTGGCTTCCCTTTCTTTGGTCATAAGAGATCTTAACATCTATATAAGGGTTTGGACATGGCTGTTATTTGCTCATCGTGAAAACTTACTTCAACCATAGTTTGTGATTTCTTTCTGAGTGGTTTCCCAAATTCTTAATTCTTTCTTTGAGGGTTTTAGAAATGACAAATTATGTGAATCCAAATGACTACTACTACATATACCAAGGGGATCAAAATAATCTTCCCATTGAATAGCAAGCTAGTACAACACTTTCTCCCCAGGGCAATTCTAATTCATATGAGAACATCTACCAACACTACATGGTTGGGGAGACCACCTCTGAGGATCTGGCATTAATGCAAGAAAAAAACACCATCGTCACCAAAACTAAAACCAGGGAAGACTCACACCGGGAGAAAAATAAGATTGTTACCTTCGAAAAGAATGAGGGATTCTTCATCAAGAAGCAGCGGGTTGGCATCCGGGAGGAGGTCATAACAACTTCCCGTCACGAGAACTTAAGAAGACATCCAAGACGATGGCCATGGAGCAGTATCTAACCCTGAAGAAACCTAAGAAACCTTTCTTGAAGTGCTTTGGTTATTAGGTTCTTTTATTAATAATTGAATGTTG